TGGATCAATAAACTCATTTCTTGTAGGCAAAGGTATGGGGATTGTAACAGTTTTTATTTCGAGCAAAGCGCTTTGTTTGAACCGAGATATGCGCTTTTGAATTTGAGAGTCAAAATCGGCGGAAACTTTCTGGACAACCCAATATTTTACTTTTTATTCTGGTTATGTTTACCAACATGATTTATTCAACAGGTTGTCTTAATTTCGCTGTCATTTCTCCTTTACTGATATGGTCTTAAAGGCACATCCCACGATTATCTGAGTTATTCAATCCCTTTCGTTAGTGGAATAAATTGATCTCAGCACACAGCTTTTGCGGTGTCCTCGGTTTTGAAGGGCACGGCAACGGTGAGGGAAAACGTCATCAATTTTCGCTTTGTCCACAATCTACACTTTTCAAAAGAATTTCGCCGCTGCCGTCTCTGCCTCTTTAGTTCAACCTTGTCACCATATTCATGCTCCACCCTGCAGGCGGGTTTGACGGCGCAGTGGTTGGAGGTTTTGCAGAAGATTCACACCTTTTACGTCATTTTATGACACACACATTTTATGACACATTTTACTACACATGTCAATGAGCCCTTCATCACTGCAATTTTCCCCGGTCTGGAATACTCTTAAAAATAATTTTTGGATTAGTAGTTTTGCATAGGTTCACTAACCATTCAAATGAATCTGAGGTTCTTAAAGGATGTCGGATGCATGGCGCATCCAAGAAGGACCATTGAGCAACGGTCATTCGATTAGTTATGCTTCTATCCTTTCAGAATCTATGGTGAGAACGCTTTACGTGACATCAAAATCTCCGAAGCGGCACTAACTCAAAGACGATTTGGATCGATTTTGTGCTGGGTGATGACAACATCAATTTATCACAAGACACGGGCGAGTTGTAGCCCATTATTATGTGACACTTGTGCTTTTTCAAATCTTCCTAATCATCCGACTAAAGAATGAGCAGATGTCCGTGGAAATTCAGGTTCGCGCTGTTAATTCGACATGGCTGCGGCGATGCGACGCGTCGCATTTTCTCACAAACAGCGATCGATTTTTGGACGAGTACACTCCGTACCACACGATTTTTGCAGAATTACCGGATAGCTATTTCAAATTATTCTGGAAGACACGTTTAGCCCTCTATTATGTGTACACCAATATCTCTTCAAATTACGACTGGTGAGTTCATTCCGTGAAATTGCCATCTGTTGCCGCACGTTACAACAGCCGTATTCATAACGGTGTGAATCACACTTAGCGTCCCGCGTGGGACACTGTGACTCGGACGTGACCAGTTTTCCGCATATCGGGTAAATTTTCACGAACCTGTTATTTTGGTTTAAAAGTTTATGGCGAAATATAATTTCAAACGACGTAATTCGCGCAATAGCCGTATGAGGTCATCGGCCGCGGTTGCGTCACGCAGCATATAAATGCATCACACATTTCATTGATTCTCTTCGGTCTTTTTCAGGTACTACAAATCGGACGACGATACATATGTGATTCTGGAGAATCTTCGCTCCTATTTGGCGACGTTCGACCCAAATGAACCGCACTACATTGGATTCAGGTTGAAGAGAAGAATGGTGGATAAATAACACGCTTGAATAATCGAATCCCCTTGAAACTCCAATCCCCTGGCGAACATTCCTGTTACAAATACTCTCTGACTATCGCTCACAGAAAAGCTTCTGCTTGGCGGGGTTTTGAACCCTTTCTTTTTCTTAACTCCCGTTTTCAGCCACAACATGGGTACAACGCCGGCGGAAGCGGTTATGCTATGAGTCGAGCTGCCATGAAAATTTTCGCCGAGCGAACTATTCCATAAAAAATCGCTGTGTCCTTATCACGAGTGGGAAGATTTAGCAGTGGCCAGGTAGCGTAGTCTTTAATTCATAATGTTCAAACATATCAATGATGATGGTGCAATGACATCCGGCGATTCTTCTCATGCTCTCAATCGAACCAGGGTTTGAATTCTGCCCCGGATGCCCCACACCTTTCTTCCTTTTCGGAGTGGGCCCACCTAATAGCGCTACCAGGCGCATCACATGACAAGGCGATCCGACACTGGATTCAAAAAACAGTGTGCAAAAACTTTGGCTCCGGCCCGGGAGCAAACCCACGACCAGCCGCCTTTAGAGCGAGAGCTCTACCACTGCGCCGCCGCCACCCTGCCTCGTCAGCGCTTAGCTGTCCTGATGAAATGGCGTCCGCTTCTTGCCAACTTTGAAGGCTCATAACTTTCAAAGAAAGTTCACGTAGCACGTAGCAGTTATAGTGCCCCTATTTGCAATCAGCGTTCAAGACTCTATCGATATACCCAGGTCATCTTTCAAAGTTCCATGGGAAGTCCAAAGCATTCCCTTGTTAGAGAGGATGAAAATGCCTTGTACATTGAGCCGCCTCCACAGATCATTTTGTAGGAAAAATGAAATGGCGAATGCCCCGCCGGCAAATCCCTCAACGATTGATCAGCGCCGATAGCTTTATCCTTTTTTATCATTTTAGTTTGATTTTGTCACTTGCAATGCCTAGAATAAAACCGCCCTATTTGTTTGTCTGTATTTAAGATTGCTTTCAAAGCCACGAGTCAGGATTAGGCAACAAGCAGAAGGTCTTCTTATTGTGTAATGGTGGGCTCCCCACGCACTTAGGGCGCGACACTATAGCCCTACCCAAAAGTGCGCCGGGGCCGAGCTGGCGCAAGGCTTGCCGCAGGGGAAGCCCAAACAGCCCATTGGGTTTAGCGTTTCGGCTGGGACCGTATGCCGAATGTTGGGGAGGGGATGGGGTCCCCAACGGTCGACGGTTTACTTCAACTCGGTTGGTACGATAGGAGAGTACTGACGCATGTGGTGCAGCTGGTCCAGCAGCTCCGCCAGAAGGGCTGGTTTGCTCACCCAGGACTAAGCCTTGGAGAGGGGACGGACCCGTTCTCTCTTTAAGGCTTAGTTCTGAGGTGAGCACCAAATTGTGGCGGTTCTAAGGACCGAGTTGAAGTGGTCCGTCCACCGTCGGGGACTCCATCCCCTCCCCAACATTCAGCATACGGTCCCAGCCGAAGCGCCAAAAGGGCTGGTTTGCTTACACCAGGCTTGCCCGCCGCGCTGCCCACGCTGCCAGCGTAATCCATGG